TCCCTACACATCCCCAAAGTATGCATAATCAAGAGGGATCGTTGCCTCAAACTTTACAACAGAGGTGTTTCCTGGGAAAACTTATGAGAGGAAACCTCAGAAAGGCTTCCTTTTCCTTTCTCTGCATATTTTTTTCTCTTGTGCAGGAACATATTTAACAGCTTTTATGAAAATTACCAGCTAATAGATATAAATATTCATATACAACTTAGTCTCAAAAGAAAGACACAAGTAGACAGATGTAAAACTGTGGCTGTGATGCGAATCATAAACTGCTATTTGGGCCAAGATATGGGTTTATTATGCTATCATTAGCACTGAATATTAAATACAGGTTTTCAATAGACTATTAATGTACACGGACATCATTATTGGTAGTAGCAATTAATTCCATGAAAGGTGTAGATGACATTTGGGATATGTTTTTCCAGGTATTTTTTTAAGAAGAATAATACATTATTTACTGTTCACATTTCTTCTTTTTTCTTTAATATAGATCCTGAATCCACTTGTTTCCAAAGCACAGCTTTCTCAAACACTTCAGTCCCGCTTAGTTAGTTGTAAAATCATGGGAAAATTAGCTAACAAATTTGAAGCTCATATGTAAGTAGACTGTACAAATATTTTCATTCTGCAGTATGTACCAATACAAGAAAAGTAGACTTTAATGCAAAAATGATATGCTTTTTTTTTTTACAGATCCCTTTATCTGGATATTAATTATTAATAAAAAATGTTCATTATGTAACTAGCATATTCAGACTTGCTGATGTTCATCAGTTTATAACTTCAGTTTGTATGTTCTTCCACAAGTTCAAATGAGTACCGTTTTCATGCCATATTGTTCCATAATGTTTTTCTTACCAGGAAATAAGCCAAACAGTAGATTTCTCTGCAGTTTAGAGACAAAACACAACTTCATCACCTTAGAGTTTCTTGTCATAAAGAGAAGAATCTTGTTCCTAAATGTTTATTTGTCTAATCAAATTTAACATGTAGATATATTTTTTTCTATCTCTAATTATATGGAGGTGTATCAGGAGCCACTGTTACTGCCTGGTATTATTCAGCTCTTAGATTCAGCGTCTGTGGGTTTGGACAGTGGTGTGGAAGAGCAAAGCAATGTTGAAAGTAAATGTGAATAACTTGTCTGCCCAAAGCAGTTGGCAAGATACATTCCTTGGACAGTTTATCTGGGTCTTACAGTAGTCGGACCATTTCACCAAATGCGTTTCCTATCCAGGCAATTGGCCATATGTGATTTTTGCATTACAAAAGAAATCTACTGAGAGCTACTACATGGACAGGAAACATGTCTAGCTGAGGAATTCCACTCTAATAACGATTAGATTGTCTCAAAATGCAAGAATTCAGCATAACAGAAGAGATGAACAGCAGGACCATGTGACAAGACATTTAGGAATAAATTTCTTTAAATTATGATTATTTTTTTTTCTTCAATAAAAAGAACTGGAAGCAACCAGAAGGAAGCTATCTACATCTTCATTTGCTATGTAGGCTACACTTGTTGCACATGCAAAAGTTAATGAGCATGGTAAAACAGTATTTTTTGAGAATATTACCAAAGCCTTCAAATCTTTTATCTTCAAAATTTGTAGAATTCTGGCAGAATCACAATTGTTTTTATTTATTTGATGTTACATTCTCATGAAAATAAAGTGACATTCCAGATTACTCGGAATCTTATGAGAAATTATAATAGCATTAACCATAATAAGTTCAAATAATCACACCTTCTTTTGTTGGGTTTCTTTAATATGCTTCCTTGCTGTTTGGAAATAGGAAACGGCTCGTTTCAGTGAACAGATAGTAGCACCATTTCTGTACGGAAGCTACATGTTAAGAAGATGGCTGAGAATTTTCTGGGACATATTGATCATCTAGTAGAGGGCTCTAAGTGTAGTTTAGAGGGCTGAAAAGAGATCTGGATCCACAGGTTTTGAATGTGACAGGCTGAATAAGAGTCATGATACACTCTCATTCCCCTTGCAGGAGGGGTCTTGGTATTTATATAGGCAATATGTAAGCATGTCTTCACATTCTTCTTCAGAATGGCACCATTTTTCCTCATAAAATTTATATGATAATAAAACCCCTTTTCTTTTATATTTCACATGACTCCCAGGGTATTTTATAGAGTATTGAAAAAGTTCTGACCTTAGAATGGAACATTAGTTTTCCTACCCTCTGTTACAACAGCTAGTTACAAACAAGTCTTTTTTGGAAGTAATCCCTATTTCAGAGTATTGTAAAATGCCAGCCTCCCAAGACTTTGTACGGTTTTTGAAACTTGAGGCCAAATTTTGCTGTAAGAAGTAAATTAATTTCCATTGGAATGAGTGGAGGCTGCGCAAGCTGGCTTGAAAATTTGCTTGTCTGTGTCTTCATATTATTTCTCTTGAGTTTTGCAACAACATAAGGATTTGGATAGAGCTATTTTATGAATACTCATGACAGCATCTTGGGCAGTGAAAGGAAACACAATGGCTGATTCTGCCAAGTTGTAGTATGTGTTTTTAATTAAATAGAATTCAAAATAGTTATTTTGTACCTGCCATTGATTTAACATGAATACTTGGGTCTACTTGCTTGAAGTCATTGCAGTACTGAAGCTTTTAATCTTAAATTCTTTTTTCTATTTTCTTCCCAAATATCTCTTTGGTGATACATGTCTTCCAAAGATGAGATATTAGAGACAATTAATTGGTGTTTACAATTCCATTTATATAATTCTTTGTATTCTTACAGTGACTGTTCAAAAATTGTAGTGAAGATGGTTATTAAATGAGGACAGCATCTCTAAGCCTACCTAGTATTTTATTAGTATAAAAAAAAAATGGAAGAAATAGGAGCAAATTATAATGACTGTAAATAATCCTTTTTCTGTTTCTTTATAGCACATATTTGTGTCTGATATACAGTATTCTTTTATAATTCTAAATTCTCAGAAAAATCATTTACCATGTGTGATAAATGTGTTTTAAAAAATGCCATTAGAAGTAATATATGGGTAAAATTTAAGTACTACAGAGTAGGTTTTATATATTCTTGTTCTGTATATTAATAAAAAATATTCATATTTTAGTATTAAAAGAGAGATTCTTCCCTTGGTAAAATCACTGTGCCAGGATGTGGAATATGAAGTTAGAATTTGCATGTGTCGGCAACTGGAACATATAGCTCAAGGAATAGGGTGAGTACAATTTGTATAACTGCTGCTAAATGCAAAATCTTTCTCTGAGATATTTAATGGTAACCTAAAAGCTGCTTTTAAGATTTCTAACTTAATTCATGCGTACTCAATAATAAATTTGGAGTGTACAGATGTGTTCTTAGGAATTGGCTGTTGGCAGTTGGCTCTTTTCCATTTTAAGATTTTTGTAAATCTGATAGTAAAATTGCTGAACCATGCAAAGAGTTTTTTGTAAATAATGAGTTCGTCTATAGCTTCTTGAAATAATCTCAATTATCCGTTGATGTCATTGGGCTTATTTAAAAATGGAAGAGGATTATGGCAAGTATTAGCAGTTTCTAATAATTACTGTGCAGTTTTTTGCAAAAGGGTGCTAAATGTGTTTTTGCCTAGACCCTTCCCAATGATTTAGATGCTTTAATCCCATAAGAAATGGTGAACTGTCAGTATTTTTGATATGTAAACTATTGCAGTGTTTCATATTGAGGATGAATAGGTAGTAGGAAAACTAAAGACAAATAAATAAACAGAAATAAGCACATTTTTAGGTAAATATTGAAGACATAATGTGACAACAGTTCCAATGCTAATTTTTACTGTTTAGTGATGTTACCTAAATTATATCATGTTATTTTTTCTTAACTTTTATGCCTATTTAATCATCTGTTTGGAAGAATACTCTTAAACTACATCTCGATTTGCTGGTAGCAATAATAAACTCTGTAAGGTACAAATCACTTTGATTATAAACATTTGAAAGTATTATTGTTCATACTGATTTACGAAAAGGACAGCTGTTACTTTTTTAGTCTGATTGGAAGAAGTATTTTGGGCATTTTTATTTCAGTAAAAATCTGGCATCCTGGAGGTTGTGATCAGTTCTGTATTAAAAACTGTGATTGAAATGACAGTCTAAACTCTTTGTACACAGTCATTCAAAGTGTCAAACATAGTTTAGATTTTGTCATCTTGGTTAATGCTCATGTAAAGTAATTTTATCAGAGTGTTTCTATGCAGTTTTGTGTTTCGGGCATTATAAACATTGAGGGCCAGATCCCTGGCTATTATAAATTGCTGAAGTCCCTTTCTTGAGATGTGGTGCTTGCACCAGCTTTCAGTAATTGATGAGTAGACCAAGAGCTCGTACATGAGAACAGGATGAAGTGGGCTTCTTAACTCAAATCCAGACAAATTCAAACACTAGAAGTCTTGACTACTATAAATAAATAAAAAAGAGCATGACAGAAAAAAAAAAAAGTGGAAATACTGGGTATGTCTTCCCACTTCTTGTAGTAGTAGTTGCTTACCCTCTGTAAAGAAGGCTCATCTTTGAAGTGTAAGATTTGCAGACACTTCAATCCAACATGACTCATATTAATAATTTTTAGCTTAGGACATCTCATTGAGCAGTTTCTGCCTATTTGAGCAGAAGAGTTTTCTTAGTGACACAGTGAAGTAGCTGGACTCCTTTGAGTTTTTTTCAGACTGCATTTTTTCTGATTTATTTTTTAAGCTAATTTGAATGCTTTTTTTTTTTAGTGATGAAGTTTTGCATTTTAAATTTACATGTTTCTTTGGCTGACAAAGAAAAAAGTCCTGAGATTGACTGGTGGTTTTTATTTAATATAC